TTTAATTGCAGCCAAAGGCATGGACTTCTGAGACCTTCCTGGATTTTTCAGTGTCATGGCTTCAGCAGCTGCAGCTTTTTAGTGAGGTATGGATCATGTATTGTAGCTTGGCACTGACACTAAAGTGATTCAGAAATAAAAGTCTGAGAGATTTGTCTGAGCAAGCTGCAGATATTCAGGATGGGTACTTTACTTCACTAACTTTGAAAAGAGATTTGTATGAACTAGAACCACAGTTCATACAGAACTAGAACAGCTTCTCCATCCAATGTATTTCCTTGACTGAACTCTACTTTCCTTACCAAACAGACTATGGCATTTTATACCAACAAATTTCCCCAGGTTTTATTTTCCTCTAGACATTATATTTCTTCTCCTAGAGGGAACTAAGAAAGTCAGAAGACTAGAAAGAAGTTTTAAAATTTTAAAAACCCAAACAACCGAACAGCAACAAAAAAAAAAATTGCAGAGAATCTGGTACAGAACAAATATGACAGGTTTGATCAGAAATCCTAGATTACATGTGCAGGTCTGAAAGAAATCTACCACCGAGTTCATCTTTGATGTGAATTTAGTCTTGTTTTATTAAGAGACCTTGAGATAAAAATTACAGTTTTGTATATAATTTTTCAGCCATCAATCTTCTTAAAATAGGAGAGTGGAAAAAAAATGAAAATTAACAAACTAATAGTTTTTCCTCTTTACTGCCTCTTGGCATTTGCAGTTTCATTGTGCCTCTTTAATTGATTTTCATTCTGGTGTCATTAAGAGCTGCGATTGTGGATCTATGGATCCATGAATACATGTATGTACATACACACACACATGCAAGACTCTGAAAATACTGTCTTACTGTGAATATTACACATCAGTCATTTTGGTTTTAAGCAACTCTAAGATGCCATTGCATGTGGGATTTCTATAATCTAGTCTAGAATTTTTCATTTTATCTATTTAAGCATGACGTTATCTCACAAATTCTATTACAGTCTACAAGGAGAAATCAGATCCAACAAAGCAATTAAGCTCACCTTTAGATATTTAAGCTAGAGCAGATGAATATCTATAAAAGACAAAGAAAACATGCAGGGGCATAGGAATTTAACTTTATTACATCAAAACTTAGCTGTTATGTATCCCAGTCTCCATTATTCACTTTTTCTGCTTATCTCCCTGTGTCTGAAATAGACACAGGAACTGCCTGAGAGAGCCTCCTCTCTCTAAGTATCAGTGGGTCAGCCCATCCTGCATTCAGATTACTGAAAGCCCTATTTCACTAGAGAGACTGTGACCAAACCCAAACACTCTGCTACCCACAACAGCCCTCACCTGGCTGTTCCACACTTTCCTCTCCTCCTTCCATGCTATTCCATCTTCTCATATTCTCTCCCTGAGCCTGAGGTCACACAGGACCTCACTGGAGATTGACTCCCAGTCTTGTCACAGCTGATTTTATAAATAAGCCTTTGAACGATAGAAAATAACTTGCAATTTCACGGTGCAGAACAAGGGAAGTCAGTCTAAACACTTAAAATCCTTCTGGTCCAATGATCAATTGAGCAGTTTGTATGTGCATTTCTGGTTTTGTACAAATAGCTCTTGCAAGCGTCACCAAAATGTGTTTGATTTTATCACTCCATTACCTCATATGTTGCACAATTCACGGGCAATTTAAGGCATTTTCAAAAATGTTTCTGAAATATTACAAATATCAGCTTAATAGGGTCAGTCATTATTACGGCTGCCTTTTACAAGTATTGAATGTCTTTTATGGAAGGGATTATAAATAAAAATAAGCCTACAATAAACCTCAACCCACAAAAAACTGCATATTTTATCCTATCTATCAGCATGTGTCTGCTCCTTTTTGTCTCCCCAGGAGCCATCTCAGCTAAGCAAAATGCAAATATTCATCAGTATTTTTATCTGAAGTACAACTATGATGAGATTCTCATGAGTTTTTTATTGAGGTCAAGGAGTCTAAATTTTCCTTCGCTTCCAAGCTATATATGAGTGACAAAGAACTTACACCCACAACACATATTTTGCATTCAAATTCATTGAAACTAATTATATTGAAAAGTGATAGCTTAATCCTGAAGACATTAAAATCTATACAACAAAGTGGTTTAGAGTTCATGATGCAGAATCACATTTCACGGCTGGATTTATCATTCCTAGAAGCACCTAGCTTAAGGCTCCAACAGCCTCCATCTTGTCAAGACCTAATTCAATTTTTACAGTTAAACAGCTCTGCAAGCATTTTATATGGCACAACCTTGGAGGCCACAACGTTTCAACATTGTGCCTTAGACAATTCCAGGATTGGTAAATCTTTATACTGTTGGATCCATTGGATACTTCAGGAATATTAAAATTAAGTAAATGAATTAGTAAGAAAATGCATTCTGCCCATATTAAACTCTGAACAAGTCTGAGGTTTCTTATATAATATCATCTTCAGTTTTCTTCTTTTTCCTTCACTTAAGTTCATTTTCAGTACATCAGAACACTTGTCTTTCCTTCTTCTCAGTGTTTACTAGTGACCATTCAACACAATCCTCTGTCTTAGTCAAGGAGCTCAGATTTTGCTCATAGTGGTCCCTTGCCTAAGGGTTGCTGTCTTTTCTTTGCACAGCCTGTCAGTTCCCATTTAAATCAGCATCCACTTCAGCACAGAAATACAGACTCATAGAATATGCTGACTAGCCAGGGACCCACAAGGATCATTGAGTCCAACTCCTGGCCTCACAAAGGACACCCCAAGAGTCACACCATGTGCCTGAGAGCATTGTCCAAATGCTTCTCAAACTCTGTCAGGCTGGTGCTGTGACCACTGCCCTGGGGAGCTGTTCCAGTGCCCAACCACACTCTGGGTGAAGAATCTCTTTTTAATATCCAACATAAACCTCCCCTGGCACAACTTCAGGCCATTCCCTTGGATTCTGACACTGTTCACCCCAGAGAAGAGATCAGCATCTGCCCCTCCTCCTCCCCTCACAAGAAGCTGTAACTGCAGTGATCTCTCCCCTCAGTCTCCTCCAGCCCGAACAGACCGAGTGCCCTCAGCTGCTCCTCATACATCTTCTCCTCAAGGCCCTTCACCATCTTTGTTGCCCTCTAATAGTTTAATAACTTTCTTATATTGCAGTGCCCAGAACTGCCCCCAGCACCTGAAGTGAGGCTGCCCCAGTTCAGAGCAGAGAGGGACAATCCCCTCCCTTGCCTGGCTGGCAATGCTGGGCCTGATAACCCCCATGGTTGGCCTTCCTGTCTGTCAGGAAACTATTCAACTTTCAATCAGCCAGCTTCCCCAGGTCCTTTTCTGTGGCACTGCTTTCCATCATGTCATTTCCCAATCTGTCTCTACATCCAGGGTTGCCCTACCTCAGGTGCAGAATCTGGCACTTCTCCTTGTTGAACTTCATATGGTTGGTGCATATGGTTGGCACTTTAGTTATCTCCTCCTCTCTCCCTCCTCAGCCATCACTTTGTCCCCTGGTGCTATTCTTGCATAATCACTCATCTGGGTAGGTTATTCTGCACAAATGTGGAGCAGTTTGTCTTAGGGAAGAGTTGTCATCACCCTATGCTTGCACCAAGCATACTTCACAGCCCTCCCAACACCTGAATTCACAGCCTCACAGCAGCTCATTCCAGAGCTAAAGTATTCAAATTGCACTGCACATTTTACTGCCTAATGTTGTTGGTGTCTCATGGCTGTTACCTTAAATACACGTACAAAAAACAACGCTTACCATCTGTCCTCCATAAACATATTTTCTTAATTTAGTGCTCCATTTTTCTACACTAAATTCTCTTTTCTACACTAAAGTTTCTCTTTTTCATTGCTGCACAATATTCTCTACAATCATATGATCGGGAGTTTTTCCTTTATTTGCCTGGGTCAATACTTTTTGCAGCAGTATCAAAGATAATCTGGCATAAGCCTGCTGCTTCTCTTTGCTTCTATGCCACTACCAAGCACACTCTCGTAATCCATAGCCAGCAGTCTCCACAACCATGAAGGACATTCCCATGCCCTTCATGAAGACGTCTTCACCAAGATCACAAGCACAAAATTAACCTTATTTTGCAATTTTATGTTCTTGAAATATTTGTTGAAAATACTCTCAGTAATTTTCCTAGCACACATTGAATCATTACTTATGTGATATTCTAGACCACAAAAAAAAATTGAGATTCTACAGTCATTTTTCTGTGTATTCACTCACTGATTTAATAAAAATTCATCCTTGTATATTCCCTCCATGACAAAGAATAAAGCTTTGTGGTGTGTTCAGTAATTCAAGCATATGTATTATTAGATACTTGTCTTCTTAACATAGTGGACCTGGTCTATATTTGAGAGGAAATCCACTAGTGTACTTCATATATGCTTCTGAGGCAGGTTTCCAAATAAAATCAGCAGCATCTCAGCAGCAGTTGGTTTCTACTCAGGGCACAGAGAGCCTATACTGCTGCACCAGTAAGCTATGCCATTTAAGTGGGAGGTCACTGTCAACTTTCATGTTTCTATTTGCATTCTGTTTCGTGGCATATTTGAAGAAAATTATATCAACTTTGTTCACAACTTGATATGTACTTGGAATATTTGTGAATACCCAAAGAAGTATTTTTATATAGTGTGTATATATGCACATATATAATTTTTTTAATATGTGTGTATATGTGGGTTTTAACCATATTTATATGGGGATCAATGGTTTACTCTATAAACATTACATGTGAAGTTTTTGAACAAATATAAGAGTAGATTAAGAGATGATGGGCCTACACCTCTTTTCAATACTCTAAAATTTGTAGACAAGGCAAAAATGAAACATCAGTCTTATGTTGGGAGCTATCAGCATTCCATCTGTGACAGTCAAATCTTTGGGTTACAAACTGGTCATTGAGTTTTTTGTTTTACATTGTAATACATTGTATTACACTCACAGCTGGCAAAGAAAAATGGCAAAAGAATGTGCTTTACTCACCCAAGGAGTTTGACTGAATGAGTTTTCCATTTAGATCCTGCTGTCTGGGAGTGTCGATATATTCCCTCTTTGTAAAGAAAAAAATCTTCATACACTTTCATTATAGCTGAAAAACAATGGGAAAAATCACCACAGTCAGCAAACATAACCTCTATTATTCTTTGCTCCTTGCATTTTACCAGTGAAATTCTTGTGTGTTGGACTGCATTGTGTACTTTGCAATTCCACTAAAAGCATCAATTTCTCAGAAGTGTCCTGTTGTGAGTGAACCCACAGAAATACTTCCACAGAGTTCTCTCTGTGGTCTCTTATCAAGTTTGTTCATTTTTCTTGTCATGGAAACTCCCTCTCACTGACTTCTTCTAACGCAGTAAGAGGAAACATTGCCTCATGGAGGCTTACATAAATTTTGAAATCTAATTCAATAAAATTAATCTCCCCAAGGTTTATATATAAACTACCCAGTTCAGACTAACATCTGCATATTCAAGAAAATGTATATCCTGTGAAATATGGCGGAGTGAAATGCCTTTTTCTGAAACTTAAAGTTCATCAAATACAGAGTAATCTCCTTAAAGAAAACTAGATTGTTTGTATACGTATAAATCGTGACTGCTAGTTAAAAGTGTGGAAAAAATCACCCCCTTTTTTCATAAAAATGTAAGGTGAAAGACCTGATGGACTGAAAATTTTGTGCAAGAGAATGAAGACTACAAGTTGCATTTTATGCCTATTTATTATTTCTTAGGTGCATCATTCATTTGTTTATTAAGAAAATAGTTCTGGGTTTCTTTTCACATGTGTTCTGCCACCTTAGCACCCTTTGCTTTATGGTGGGCTACCAGATCCAGAGAAATGAAACTGCTTTTCAGGTCTACATTAACTTTAGATTCCAGTGAAATAGAAGCATTAAATATAAGCTGCATTCATTTTATTTTTAGCTTATGATTTTAACTGCCACACAACTTGGAACATGAGAATTAGTGAAATCAAATTTCCTAAAGTCTTGCACCTTGGGAGTCCCATAAAGTACAAGTCTCACTGACCATTTTTTATGTGGTTGGACCATTTATAACATATGTGCCTGGTATAGATCTGCAGTATCCAGTAAGTTGAGATCATGCTGCCATTTTTTTCTGTCTGGCATACTTAACAATTTCTTTCTCCTACCTGAACATTTTCATAAACTTGAAGGAAATTAACTATCTTTAAAAGAACCTCTATCATATTTGGCTGAAAATATAAAATAATCAAAAATTGTAGGGGATAAGAGAGAATTAGCAAAACATGGTGAAATGAGGCTAATTGCCTAGCCACGGACAAGCCTGATATTGTGCCCCTTCCCCATCACATCTTGGTTGAAGCTCTGGCAATGAGATCCACTGTTCCTGAGCAAAGACTCTCCATCTCTGAGGAAGGGGAGTCCCATGATGCCAGCATGCCTGGTGCTTAGGCCATTCCATTGTGAAACCCCCCCAACATCTGAGCTGTGACACCAGCCATGGAGCCATGTATTAACAGACTCAGCCCATCTGTTTCATCCAATGTTGCTGCCTTCAACTGTTAGTACAAAGGAGAATAAAACCTGTGCCCCAAATGAGACACATTCTTGTCTGTGAACAGATATCATACCTAAATTTTTTCCATTGAAATGAGGTAGAATTTTTTAAAGTGTATTTCCAGAATAACTTTAGTTTATGTGATAGAATTTTATCTATGACTGTATATTATATATACATTGCATGCCTGGGCACATGGGTATATGTACATTTGTATATGTGTGTAAATATATATATACCTATGTATGTGTAATACCTTGCAAGGAGCTAAATAATGGTACAGTCTTTAGAGTTAGAGTGGTCTGAGTGCATGAAGTACATGGGCAAAAATGATGATAATTCTATATCTACCACTGAGATATTTTTATTTACTCAGTGACTTTGATTTGATACGGACTGTGAGTTGGACAGGACAAGTTGATCACAGTCCACCACCTAATTTTGTTCCTTCTCACACAAGAAAGACTGTATTTCCCAAAATGAACAGATTAATTATTAATGAATCAGAAAAGGCAGTGATTTTCATAAGATGTACTATAGTTCATGCATGAGCTATTTAGTCATGCTGAGCTTTTCAGATCTATGCATATAGATGCAGCAGATTAAAAGATTGATTCCACTATGGATTCCCCTGCATAAAATTCTTAAATAGGATATTTTTTTGTCTCCTTTTAATCATACAAAGACACAAGAAATGAAAACTAGTTGCTACAAAAGGAAACAAAATTTAGCTCTATACATTAATATAGACAAGTGCTTTCTACAGATAATCTTCTTCATATTTTTAAAGATTCACTTCCTTTAGCAAATATAACAATTTTTTCCAAGATCGTAACAGCTGAAATTGTAAGTTTTGTGGGCTCAAAACTCTGATGTATTGCCAAAAATGTGTAAGCCTTTTTTTAATTGTGACTGACTAATGTGTCGGAGAGGATAATTTTCCTACATCAGCATTGTAACTGTCAGAGTATTTCCTAAAGTCCATGAAAAAAAAGAGATGTATGGGCAATATTAGGATTGTCTATCTGAATTTTAAAATTATTGGTGAAATTTCACTATGTATACTTGAAAATGGATTTCTTAAAAAAACTAGTATTTCATCTTTGAATCAAAACATGCTAATTGCTCAGTTTCTGTACCATGTAAGACGATGTAGGTCTGAGAGAAATTGTCATTCAAACTTGAAAGCTGTATAACATAAAATCTTGAGTTACATTCCTAAACCTACTACTTCACAGTTGTAAAAAAATATTTTTTATTAACTTTGAATATGTCCAAAAATCAAAGTCCATGCATCATCATGATCTTGAAAGGATCTTGAATATTTCCCAGCTATTAAACATTGCTTAGTATATTAGATAAAACTGTCCCTAGGCACTTTGTAGGTTCGTCAGGAATGACAAGCGAATGAATAATGGAAAACCTCCTCCAGTATTTGAAGATCATTTGCAGAAAAAATTATGATATGGTTTTAAAATTAGACTTTTGCCCTGGTTGCATTTGTAATATGGGAAGATAGAAGAGAGGATCAGTGACAAAAAACAAGGCCATAACTGTGATCCATTTAAAACTCATAGCCAAAGAAAAAACAGCAAGTGATTTCACTCAGTGATGCATACCCTCAGTTATATGCCATTATGTATATCGATTTTTCTACAAACAACATTACCTTAACCTTATACACAAAAGCATTGAAATTTAAAAGAAAAAAAAAAAAAAGAATTGTTGAGTGGCTGCCTGGTTTGACCAGAAAGTGAGTTTCTGGAAAAGTTATGGTCAAAGCAATCAGTGGCCAGATTTGAAATTGGCACCTGGTGTGGCTACTGGGGACCTGGATATGCCTCTGAGAACACACAGGGGTTAAAAGCAGAGCATTCCCAGAGACACTTTCTCTTTTGAGTCTGGCGGGTGAGTTGACCTCCTCCACTGGGAGGCCATGCAGCCTGAGGGAAGGGAAGCCAAAGCCCCTGCAAGGTGCAGGGGTGGAGGAGACCTGGGATGTTTTGGGCAGCTTCCCCCCTGCCCCGGGAGAGAATGATGGAGCCTGTGCAGGCTGGAAATTTGATGTCTTGTGCCGGCACCATGGCCAGGAGGAGAAGCGGAGGGGCAAGGTGACCAGCCGCCGGCAGACCGGACTGAGCTTTTAACCCCTTTGGTGTTAAAACAATGGAAGCTGTAAAAATACTGATCCTCCCCAGCTGAGAATTGAGAGGGGACGGAGGATGGGAAAGACGAAGAAGGTTTGAGTAGGCGAAGAAATGCCAGCAGATGAGAAGTGCCCTAGATGGAGGAGATGATTGGAGTGGCTTTGGCTGGACTTTTCTCTTACATGGCCACGAGACGAAACCAATTTCTTCCTGTAATGTAGAGACTGCACCTTGGGGGAGGTGGTTGGTGGGAAGCGAGGAGTGACAAGGCCGTTAGGAGAAGTAGAGGGAACAGAGACTGAGGGGGAAGGTGTGGTGGAACCCTCTGCCTTCAGTGAAGGATCTCTGTTCCTGAGCCCCAGGTCCCAGGGGACTGAATATGGGGGGGACAGGTGTCCCAAAGGGTGAGAGACGGCCACTTCGTGGAACTGAGCAAAGCATTCTTAAAAGGACCTAAGAAGCAGTTTGGATCCATGGACAGTGGTGAGAGCACTGGACATGGAAGGAAGATGGTCATCATGGCAGATTCTCTTTGGGTGGCTGCCACGTGTGACATGGAAGCACAGGAGGTTCCACTGTGTTTCCTGGGGAGGCCCATGGTGCAAGAGAGAGACTCCTCTCTCCTGATGAACTGGGGGAAGCTTGTGTGAAGGATGGTATTAGACTGAAAATCGAGTGTTAGAGAAGATTGAGTATTAGAGGGGTGGGGGGAGGAGGAGTGTTTTGGAGGTGTTCCATTGTGGATTGTTGTGTGTGTTTTTTTCTTTTTTTCCCTTTTGTGTCTATGTTGTAGATTAAAAAAAATGTTGTTTTTTCCCCTCCATTTGTTCTGTTTCTGGGTCACATCTCACAATAACCATTTTGGAAATACACCTTTCATAAGGGAACTAGCACTGTGCCAGTGTCAATCCATGACAGTGGCTAAATTCTAACAAATGGCTGAATTTTGATTATTTCATGTGTAAAATTTAGTACTAGCAGATTAATCCAGAAAAATGTTTGAGGTTTGAAACTCTATCTTGAGGATCCTAATTTTTATCATTTTCTAAAACCAGCAGAAATTACTGTCTTTGCATCTAGATCAAATGCAGTGTGGGAAATAATATTTTCCTTGAGCAAACAAACTTGGACAGAACAAAAAAAAAAAAAAAGACTGATGATATTGATCTTGTTAAGTCTGAACTTCAGATTAATTGCAGCTGCCCACATAAAGAGCTTTAAGAAGTAATTTCAACTACATGATGCACCAAAATGAATTCTATCTCATAATCAAAACCATTTGAATAATGAATTGAAGATTATGATAATTCCTTATATAATTAAAGGCAGTAGAAATGCAGAAGTGCCCTGAAGTAAAATTCTTTGGTTTTGCATCAGCCAACCATCCAAGAGAGGTGGAGGTCCTGCTCTATGGCTATTCTCCATCATCCCAAGCACCACATCCATCAGTCTCTCTAGTTACACTGTCCTGGGTGCATTTTCAGCTGATGTCAGCACCATACATGGCCACAAATGGAGAGTACCCAAGGAAGAAAAAAAAAAAAAAAAAAAGTTTGCAGTTCCCTACTCAATGCTGAGTCTCTGACTGAAGTATCTGTATTTCTGACCTCTGAGAGGACAGGGATCTTCATTGCAGAGTTCAGCAGAAAAATTCAAATCTGGTAGGCATCAACAAGAGCATTCGGGCCCTGAAATGAGTAATTCTGGGGTATTTCAGTACTGAATGATTTGCTGGAAGGCCCATATAGCTCAGCATTACCTTCAGAGGAGAGCAGGTCTGGTGAGCTGGCCTTAGCCATGGGGGAATCCACCCCAGCCCTACAGAAACGAGTCTGGCTAACATTTAATCCATAAATTGCTATTTCACCAATGAACAAAGAACTGTCATGAAAAAAGGCACACAGATTTCCTGCACATGCATTTTGCACAAATTTTCAACATATCCAGTGCAAGGTCACTTTACTCTTCACAGGCTCTCATGCAGTCATGCTGCCTTTAGGGACACTATTTATCCACCAAATGTCCCTGGATGGACTACAGTGCATATGACTGGTTTCTTCACTGTGGCATGTAATTTGCATTTTCTAATATTTTGATATGAGGTCATTGCACAGTCTAACTATTTCAATAATGTTATCATCCTTTAAACTTACCGTACCTTGCACTGGTCCTCTGTCCTTGATTTCTTCCATTATATCAGTTTCCTAAGAGGAGGTGAGAGCAGCAACACAGAGAGCAAGGGAAGATTACATTTATTAAATAAAATTAAAACTCATACTAATTTATCATTGTGTGCACATATATATAGTGCACACAATATACAAAGGGATATATATATATACCTTTGTACTTGTATTTCTGATGGAGAATATTTGGTTTACCAAATTAACAAAACCTTCAGAAACATGTTTAAGAAGAACAACTGCAGTGTTATGACTGCATACTTTCTTTTCTATTTCTATAGGACCACAAAGTGTCAACTTTAAAGAGATTATGTACAACTGAGAAACTATCAAGAATTTCAACTCCTGGGAAAATTCAAGGGCAACATAAAGGAAAATTCACAGCTCTAGTCTTGAAGTTAAGGAGTTAAGGAAGTTATTCCTCAAAGGAGTAAAATTGTTGAGACAACAGATGAATTTCATGAACTTACTTTTGAGGACACCCTGTAGTGAGAGGCACACCGGTATAACCGATTGGATTTTTCAAAAGGATTGGGACATGGCCCATTTGTATGGTTTTTTCCATATTCACTTGACACATAACACTGATTTTCAGCTGATGGCCCCAGGTGTTTGTTCCAAAATGAAGGATAACAAGCATATGATACAACCCTGTTCAGGTAGTTAAAAAAAAGAGTTGATAAGAAGCTTGCTCAAAATTTTTTGCCATTTCACTTCAAGCTTTTGATTATTTTGCAACTGTTGTATTTCAAGTAATACTCTTCAGAAATGTGGATGGCATATTTTCAGCTGGATGGCATTTCCTTCAATTGATATACATTATATTTATGATTAAGTTTCCATTACAGTAGTCCTCTTCCCACCCTTCTCCACAGAGAGATAGGGTAAAAAATGTGTTTAGTAATTGTTACCTGGTACATTCATCTCAGTAATGATGCATGAAAGTTCACACTGAAAAAGATCAATAAATTACCTATGTTGTCAATGGGCTTCATTTATCAAAAATGGCTTGTGAAATGGAATATGTGGAATGCTGTTAGACATTTCTGAAACAATATACACATTTCTGCATTAATGCAATGCAGGCCTATGACAGGGTTTCTTTTACAGAGCATAATCAAATATTTTGCTGAAGCAGAATTCTTTAAAATAGTCAGTCCTACAAAAAGCATTTGTATTTAAGAGGCTCATCAATTATACTGGACTTTCTGAACCTGAGGAATTGAAAACTATATCTCTACACAATATGGAGTATAACTATGCTTGCCAGTGTATATTTAGCTGTCAGGAGTTTTACAAGATGAGCCCATATATGCTTCAGCTGTTTTGAATAAGAAATCACATTTTACCATTAGCATTTGGTGATAGAAAATCTGAAAAATCTTTTTCTTTCTGCCCAAAGTAGACCACATACACACAGCAGCACACTGGAGCTGCATGGTAATCCAGATAAGATCTCTGAACAAAGAGCCACTTTTGAATCTTTTCACCAACCACAGTTTCTGCAGCTTTGATTAACACAATTGAACAGCTTTCTGCTGAAGCACAATTTCATGTGCTGAAGTATAATGTCGTATGTGCTGAAGAATCTGCACCACAGTAAACATTAAAAAAGGAGAAGACCCTTCCAAAAGAGTCATAGAAGAAAAACAGAAATAGATGTGAATATGTGTATATGCACAAATATTGATACATATACACAAAAATAATGTTAGAAACAAGCAGGATCCAGGGCCACCCGGGAAAACCCTGTAGTGTGTTCACACATTCTTGACAAAATTCATTTGAAGTCATGTTTGTGTGTTCAGTCTAATGAATTTTTTTCTGGATTTGTTGCATTTATATGTTTGATTTGTGAGATAAGAAAATAATCCTAAATATTAGACTATGTTATTTGCAAGTCGGCTAATAACAATAACATCTTTCTCATACCCTACAGCTGCCAAGAGCCCAAGGTACAAATCCAATTAAGCCCTATTGTGATTGGAAGCACTATTTACATTCATGTCTAACTTTTATACCATCTGAAAATGAAGTGTTTCTTCCTCATTCTTGATGAATATAACCTTTTTGTTTTCCTTATTAGTTAAATAGATGTTTTCAAGAACCCTTATTTCTCCCAAATTATGACTTGTAACTGAAACACTTAAAACTAATGATAATTAGTAATAGAATACATATTTATTCTTTAATTAATGCAGAAAGACAAAGTGATATTTAAACAGTGTTTCAGCTCCACTTACAGCAGATTTCACTATTAATTGGGTGTTTAGTGATTCTGAAAATTCAAGTCTAAGCACTGGCCTAGCTTCCTTGCGCTTTATGGAAATCTTTTTCTGACTTCACTGGGGATAGTTTAGGTCAGCACTTGATTTTTCTGAACATCTGTCAAAAACCTGAGCTGAGCACACTCCAGAAATCAAAACAGCAGAAACTTTAAACAGCACTGAATGCCTGCTGAGATAATTTACAAGGTCCCACAGAAAATCAATGTGTTTTCTCCCTATTGCAGAGTATGGAGATAATGACACAATGATTGCAATATAATGATTCCTAAAAATAAGTCACCTGGAAGTGTGTGGAAGCAAGGACTGTTTGACAGGGTTCATTCAAAAGACATTTCTGACTTGTATGCCATAAAATTCCATTTTTTTTATTGTCACAGTTAAAAGGTTATGGATGATGGGGTTTAGCTACAAAACTGATTAAATTATGAGTCCAGTAAATCAAAACTTTTTTTTAATTGTTGAACTTGATATTATTTGCTCTTGGCTACTGTCAGAGACTTAACATTGGGCTAGAGGCAGTAAATCAAAACTTTTTTTTTAATTGTTGAACTTGCTCTTTGCTCTTGGCTACTGTCAGAGACTTAACATTGGGCTAGAGGGACACTTTCCAGACCCAGAAATGCTGTTCATGTGTTCTTCCAGTATCTGTTCTAAAGATATTTGGATATTTCCCTTAATATGTTTATATGTGTCTGGAAATGTTAGAATGGGTTTTGAAATATCATTTGAACTTGAGGAAAGAAAAGCAGAATATAGAAATATTTATAAAAATAGGTAAGTAGGGATGCTTTCATGTGTGGTACTTTGACGACAAATCAATGATCAGGGATAAAAATGGGTAGCAAGCAAAGGTCTGTCATAGCATAGTGATGTTGTACATGTTGGAGCTAGCTCCATGGCAACAAAGAAGCATAATAAATGACTAAGAAAATAATCCTGAATTGCTGAGATTTGTTGGAGATTTAGATAGTTTCCAAAAATTCATGATGGTTTTCACAACTGCCCTTCAGATTCTTTACTGAGATGATCAGCTGCAAGAGGCTGGTGACTAACATGAGGCTGAGCAATAAGCAAGTACTTGGCAGTGTGGAGGTGAAAAGACAGTTCACAGGTGTGTTGTGTGAGCTGAGGTGCTGTGGCTCTATGTTTCCAGGCTCACATCAGTCAGAAAACCTGCTCAGCACATCACTGTCACACTGCTACTCAGTCAGGTCAAACATCAAGTTATTGCATTCACACCAGAACAAGCTCCTGTGAGGGTACAGCTAGGTTGATAATGAAGTGCCTTGTAGAGCTTCAGCCTGCCTTGCTTTTCTTTTAAAAATAAGCTAACTCTTTTATACTTAAATTGCTTTGTATAACAGGCCATGTCACTAACCACAGTGCTAAGGTCAAAATAATACTACATTCTGGCATAGGAAGAACTTCATTATTATGGGGCTCGTCGTAGTTGTGCCTGTACAGGGATAACAGTCAGAGGGAATAGAAAACTAGGAGATTGTCCTATTGCTGCAGTTTTACAGCTTTTCTTTTAAAAATAAGATGCTCCAACTGTTGTGGAGATAATGCTCATAAAAATTATTCTCACTTTTCTTATCTATAGCAGCAATTCTCGTGCTGCTGTTTTTAACAGTCAAGTAAACAGTCCAGCTAGAAAGACCTGCAATTACTCTACTAAAAACAGGAGACTGTTTTTCTAGTTACAGAAAATATTGCAGTTGAAAAGTGCTTACTATTAAAATGTCACGTTATAACTTTCATTTCTTCACTAATGAAGCCTTTTTCCTTAGCTCCCAAGGTGCTAAGGGGCATTTGCTAATCACTCAGTTGAAGGATCTCCTTCTTAAAACCTAAGTAAAAGCCAGTTTAGTGTTGAAGACCTGAGAGAAAAAGAGAAGCACTCGAAGTAAACTGTCCCCATAACAATACAAAGTTCTTGTCATATCAGAAATAGATTTATACACTTGCAGAAGGCAGAATTATCACTTGTATAGTGTGACAGGTCTTCTCCTGGATCCCCAGAGTGCCATGTCAACTACGACACATCACGTCTGACATTCTTTTGCTCTTGACATGGTTTGTTTGTTTGTTTGGTTGTGTTGTAAATAAAATCAAAAGTTGACACAGATAACACCTTAGATCACTCTGTCTGTCAGTTTCCGATATATCAGAGTAAGTGATGAGATTGTATGAAAGCAAGACAGGAAATAGATTTTGGTATGAAAGAGAAAGAATAAAAAAAATTCTGGTAATGTGAGAAACAGCAGGATTTAATTTTATGGTATCTAAAATGCAATTATTGAACTTCTCCTGGAAGCTATTTCCAGGCACACAAACTTAAAGGAGTGGACTGAAAGCAGGATGTGCAGATTTACCATGACAGGTAATGATGATATGATGAGACAGTCTGACCATGATTAAATTACTGGCTCCACAGAGAATAAGGAAAGCAGTACCTATCATTTACCTTGTCTTTAGTGACATTTTCAGCATAGATTTCTGTGGTGTTCCTCAACTTTATTTGACTAGGTAAATTGCTTACAAGGTCAGTTGTGGACTTGCATGGTGAAAGGTTGACAGATCAAAGTGACTGGTGTCTGTTTATTAATGGCATTCCCCAGGAGACAACACAAAAGCAACACTTTTGTATCTCTATTTACAATCTGGACAGCCACATGTAAGGCACCTTTAGCAAGTTTGTGGAGAATGTAAAACTTTTAAGGAGTGATTAGTATGCATGGCTGCTGTTCAGAGCAGTGTTAATAGGCTGAAGAAATGAGCCTGACAGAAATATCCCGAATTTCAGCAAAGACAGATGGCAAATCCTGCCTCTGAGCCAGAACTTCCCAGGTACTGTCAGGGCACCACCAGTGTAGACAGTCATTTAACAGAGAAGGACATGAGGTCCTGAGAAACACCAAGTTCAATGTAGGTGAGCAGTGAGCCCTCTTGGCAAATGTGGACGGTCAATACTGGGCTGTGTTACTGAGAACATAACCAAGACATGGTGGAAAATTAATCTTCCCCTCAAATTACTACTCGGCAGATGGAGCTATGTGTTCCCTGGGAAAGACACTGACAAACTGAGCAAATCCATTGGAAGGCACTTAGGGGACTGGAGCTGAGGCAGCTGGACTTGTTCAGTTTAGAGAAGAGAAAGCCAAAAGAGTATATCATTCCTGCCTTCAGCTACATAAGGAGAGGTACAGAGGAGACAGAACAAAACTCTTGGAGATACACAGTGAAAAGCTGGAAGGAAAGTACCAGTCACAAGTTCTACCAAGGAAAATGCTGATATAAGAAAAAAGTGTTTGACCATAAGTCAAATAAACTGACCTGCTGCAAGAAAGGCTGTGGAACCTCCATCCTTGAAGATACTCAAATTGTGTCCAGGGACATGGCCCATACAGTCTGATCTAATTTCAAAGTCATGCTTTGAGCAGAATGTTGGATCAGGTCACCTCCAAAGTTCAACCCAAAATAATTTTGTGATTCCATAAATGATTATATCCCCTTTTAAAGTTTCTAGCTTTTCATGGGAAATTTGATAGCTCTTAACTCTGCTTAGTCTGATCTGAAGGAAGGATCTAGGTACAATCCTTAATAGAGTGTTGTGCTCTGGAACAACCTTGGAATGAGATGGTTACAAGTTACTTTATAGAGAAAAGGTGTTTGATTCTTTTAAATATTCACAATGTTGTCTCATGCAACTGGCTGCTTACTCAAGGCTGTTTCAAATGATGAGCCTGTATCCCAAGAAACACAGAAGATTTAAGTACATTTACGGTATTATCTTATTGCAAATTAAGCAACTGTTTCAATTTAAAATAATCTAAACAGACAGATAAAATATTTACCCATGTGTTTTCAGATATCTCCAGGCACCATCAATGCTCCCACCATTACATCCTTGTTGATTCCTGGTATCACAAGAGATCAAGTTCTGAGCAGAAAGGTTGTCTGTGATCTGACCCTTTGAATGAATTGCTATTCTATCTGCTGCAACACCTGTTTGAAAATAAATTTTCTGTTATCAAAATCAAATAATTACTCACAACTTTGTATTTGTTTTTGTGAAAGAGGGGCAGAAATACAACCTCAATATTTTCTATCTGTGCACATATATTCACTAAACAGTACTGATATAATCTGTCCAGACTTTTGTGAGAGAGGATTGAGAAACTGCAAAACATCAAGAGCAACTTTGCTGTTATATGACAAATTCCTAGATTTACTGGCTATTATAAAGTCCAAAATACCTAAATATCAGATGAGACATTTGTGTAATTTTCTCTATCATGTTTGTAAATGCATATTCACATCTAGTTGTCTTCAGCAGAAGAAACAAATACTTCCCAACTCTCTGCAGCTGAATGTCCAAATCTCTTTCCAACCTTTCTTTCCTTTATGTGAGGGGAAAGAAAAAAAATAGCAGTCCTATGAAGAAGAAAATTCAAGACTGAAAGTATATTTTGGTTTTATCACAAAGAATATTTGGAGATGTTTACATTGAAGTGTAAATCTAGGACTCTTTGTACCACCTTCCCTTATTACACAAAATTATTCCTCAGACATAGATACCTTATCTAAATTCAATCAGATAATCATGATTATTAGTACTTATATATTTATGAACTGATTTAAAGGCAGACTAGGTTAACTAAGTTGTGGGTGAAACTAAGGTGCTTCTACTTTCTGTATCAAATGACAATGAAGCAATCATTAAGCCTCATTGCAAGTCATTACCTATGATTAAATTTTATTTGTATTACTTTTAGCCCCACATTTTTCAATTTTAAAATAAAGTTTTAAAAAATCTCTTGAAATCTAAATCCTGATCAAAATCAAAACTAACTTTGGTGAACTCTGAGGAAGACTTTGGAAAACAAAGTTTGCTGACGTCAGATGACAACTGTATTTTGTGCTTTTGAGAAGTGTCCCATGATAATGAATTTATTTTCATATGTATAAAAGCCTTTTATTATAAAGTTTTGGCATACTTACAGAAATTATTTATGATAAGAAAAAATTATACAGCAGTGCTTGCCTGTTCATTGAGCAACAACTAATCTTGAAAACCCAGACTGAAAATGTTAGATGCACCTAAACAACACGTGAAGGCATCTCACACTACATAACTTTGAAAATAATTATGTGAATTAAAACAAAAATGTTTGTTTATGGAAAGGAAAAATTAGACACAATATCTGCAGAGTCTTTCCCTCAGATCTCTCTTCATCTCTGCAGTTTTCTGTCAAGAGCTGTTAAAAAGTCTCTTGGTTTTCTCTTTTTAAAACTGCAGTGGATAAGATATATCAGAAAAAGAGCATGTTCAGTCTGTATTTTTTCAAGGAGCTGGGATTGGCTGACCTTAAAGCTCCTTTCCTTCTCTTACCACTGTGATTTAAATAAGCAGTTGCAGAAACCTGCACCTGTGAGGACCCACTGGCCAAACTAAGTCACAAAGATTGATCACATGCTTATGTTACACAATTTTATGAAAAGCAAAGTGCTGCAGCTTAGGTTGACATTTAAAGATTTTGGGACAGTATAGAGGGAAAGTTGTAGCAATTTTAAATGTTCCTATTTGGTAATAAAAGGTGAAAAGCAAGTTGATATTATTTTGTTACAAACCACTACAATTTCATTACACATCTAACATCACCAATACTTTCAAAGGGAGCAGAAAGAAATATTACTTGCTGTTGAAAAAGCCCAGGATGCTCCACAGTTTCGCTGATCCAAAGGATCGTGAATCCGATCAGGCCACTCATAAATGGCTGAAAAGATTGCAGGAAACTTTTCTTCTGGAAGTGACTTCCCCTAAAACAAAATGTAGATCTGTATATGATTAATTTCCTTGTTTTATCATAAATTTTATCATAACTTTATTTTTAAAATTCTTAATTTTTAGACTGAGGAAGCCTAAAGCATTGGCTCCTGTGACTTCCCAAGCAAGTCTGTGGTCATTTCCCCATGGCTGGGTGCTGCAGACCCCTGAGAGCAGGAGGGTTCTTGCACTCCATTAGCTGAGCTGAAAGGCTGAGCTTCAAGACTGCCAACCTGAATAACCTGACCAGTTCCTCTCTGATTTGTATCTCAAACAATAATTCCCTATGAAATTTGCTAAGTGTGACCCAGCTGGCATTTTTGGAAGGAAAAGCTCTCTGCTACAAATAGAGTTGAAGTTAAATACCTGTTCCCCTGTTCTCCCAGACACGTGGCTGTAGGTAGAAAATTTTAGTCACTGTGGGAGAGGAATAAGTACAGTGTATCATTGATTTGTCCTTTACATAGTGGTTATTCAATCTGAAGCATTTATTCCTTTTCCAGAATAAAAATCAGTGATTTCTTCTGCTTTTCAGTCTGATAGTGAATTCATGAAAATTCATCGTCTGCTCACTAAAGCAATTTGGCCAGCCATTTCTGGCACCTTTATGTCTCAGCCTAAATTTATGTCCCACTCCAAAGTCCACCAAGCTTTGAACAAATATTTGCATATGCAAGAGCCATCTGGTACAACTGCTAATAATCTGCTCTGTGTTCAACATATCAAAATTATTGACCCATTTTTTTTTTACTGTTGAACTTCATGGAATGATGCATTATGCTGTGCAAGGAAATAGGAATGGCCACAGAGAATTGCAGTATTAGGCCATGCAATCAGTCTGTTTCAAAGAATTGTTGATAACCTCTGTTCCAGAAGGAAATACAATATACAAAACAAGATAATCTGCTCCTGAGCAAAACACTCACTGATGCTTCTTTCTCATAAGCAAGCTGAATTGTGAAGCACAATGGTTCTATCCTGTTTAAATTCTTGCTAAACCATTTTTCTAAATTGTCTATGTGATTTATAATCATAAAACATACCTTTTGCTAAGATTATTTAAACATTTGAGGCCATTTCTTTCAAACTATTTTGGGACTCTTTGGAGAACCAAATTTTAGCCCTTTGCCCGTACCAAGATCACTTTGTTGTGTACACTGTGAAACAGCAGTGCCTCCATCCAGCTTGTACAGATGCCACAGAGAATCCCCAGCTGAGAAAAAGTGGGTGAAGAAAAAGGAAGCTCGCATCTCAGGTCTGACATTTGGTTGGGATACAGCCCAACAGGCAAATTGATAGTCTGTGCGCTTTTCCAGCCCCCCTGGTTCTGGGCTGAGCAGGTTAGATGCAGGCTGTGAGTCCTGAATCCATGAAGGAATACTGCAAGCTGTTAGGTCACTTCAATGATTTTGAGTCTCACCTCCACCTGTACAAGGCCAAAAAATTTTTAAACCTTGCTAAAATATTAATCTCATTATTTTGCTTAATCAGTTTCAAAGATTGTTTTTTTAGAGTTTTATATACATGGGACTTGCAACATCAAGAGACACTCAGGAAGAGCAACAAATTTAAATAACAACTTGACAAATTATCATTATGTTCATTATTAGTGAGTAAGCACTAGCTCAAGATTTACTTTGAAGATGAAACATACAGGAGAAATCCCAGACAAATAGAATTTCTCTTATATGATGAGTCTGTTCACTACCAACCAATAAAAAAGCAAATTTTGGCAAATATTTAGCACAATTGTGTGGGTAATGGCTGTTTGTAATGCTCATTATGATGCCTCATTACAAATAAGGCCAATGAGAAAAGCAAAATTCTAAATAGATCTCCAGTCTTGACAATGTATTGCTTTATGTATTCCTAACCTACTGTCAATGTATTTATGAGCCACATATTGTAAATCCCAGAGCAAATTCCTCATTAACCCTCAGCCTTGTCATTTAGAAATACAGAAATGTTTCTGTAGCCAGAAACATTGGTTTTTTTTCTGAAAAAGTTTCTACCCTAATATTGAGAAGTGCTGCTGGTCTGTGGCAAATACCAAGTCTAGACAGCTGTTTCTCAACGTATGCTCCATGGACCAGCATCAGACAGCAAAGGCAATCAGCAAAATGACTGGTGAACTATTTTTAAACCTTTCTATGTACTCTCTGCAGTGAAGTTAGCAGCCTGACCAAAGCAGGAAGGTAAGAGGACATAAAAGAGCACTCTAATATCAACAATTACTTCTTCAGAAAAGATAGATGACCAATAAGAGAAAAAAGGACAAGGATAACTGAATTTGCAAATGTGGAAATAATTTCCCTGAGGAAAAGCAATTTTTTTTCTCTTTTTTTTAATATAGCAAAAATTTCCGGGACATCACTTGCTTTGTGAAGACCAAATGTGCACGAATGACCTTCAATTTGCAAGACAACTACAACTGCTGAGGGTTTTTACTGTGAAAAGCCATATACCAGTGGAACAGAGGTTTTACTTTGTCTACTTTCCAATTGTTTTTACCAGCTTCTGGGTATTTAATGAGAAATGGTGCCTTATTACTGAACTGCATGTTTCGTTGTCTTGTAAGATGGCACACAGGTGAGAACCTTGTTGCTGGGGGTGCAGACCTTACCATTGCAATGTACTACTTGCCAGGACTTGTGCTGACAGAATACCACCAAAAGTGCAGCACAATGCTTTTAAAGATGTTGCAATTATTCTTGTGCTACATGGAACTTCAAGAATGATTGCACTGTCTCCTGCAGTGAAAATGCCTTCTCAGATGGAGGAGTTTCAGCTTGGCAGGAGTCAAACAGGTTTAGTAATGCATTTAGCTGTTGGTCCATACTCAGGTCTAGCCATACTGTGCAACAGAGGGTCCTCAGTTCAGATTTGGTTCTTGCTCCATATCATTGCCTTTTGGGTGTTCTAATGTACCATCATGACAAACTTCCCTTCCAGACAAAAGTACCACCTTGTTGAGCAGGTACGATCTTTCATTAAAAGCAGAACTTTTAAAAGCTCTACGAGCAACTTCAGGAAGTTTGTGATTGCCCTAAGAATGGTGCAGAAGCTGAGAAAGCCATACAGAGAGTATTATTTTATATGTTAGCTTTTGTAAGTAGAAAGATTTCCTAGAATCCTGTGAAAGGTATCTGATTCCAGCAGCATGTAAGGAAGCCTCATGATGACCAAATGCATGAATGTGCCAAGTTGGATTTCTGGACAAAAATGCACTGAATCTCCTTGGGTGTCTGGTAGTGCTAAAGGGAGTTGGGTTGTGGCTCACAGATTTCGTAAAACAGCAGACAGAGAAAATATGGCTGAGAAATGTATCTGTGGAACAAAGGCTGTAAGAAGTGTAGCAGTTAAAGTAGCTGCAGGAAGCTTAATAACAATGATTCAGTAAGCGGGATATAATACAGGACTACTGAGTAAACAGTTACTACAAATTGAACAGAGGAAATGAAGTATCATGAAGAATTTCTTCAAACCTTCCCTTTTCCTGTTTTCCTAGGTGGGATTTGTCTCACCTAGCTAGATATCTAGCAATGGAGATGTCAATCTCTGGGCGGGGTACATGACGTCCTTTTTTTGTCTGTGCTATATAAGCTTCACATGTATCCCTCAAGGAAAATGCCAAAAACAACAAATCAGTCACTCTTTTGAGCCTCAGTGCAGTTCACCGGTAACTTAAGGCAGACACCTACTTAATGTACTTAAATTCTCTTATGCCATTGTCTTATTTTGACCTGCCATCTTCAAATCAAATGATCCTTCTTTGGCTGCCAAGAGTAGTCCAGAAAATCCTACATGGCTAAACTCCAAAGCTTAATTCCTGTCAACTTCTTACTCTGGCAACCCTTCAGAGTGTAATTTTGATTGAGTTGGCCAATGTGGGCCTGAGCACAATGCCTCACCATGCTGGCGCAGGCAGCAAATGTTTGTAACCAAGAATGGTCTGAATCAAGCAAAAGGGTTAGGACTGCTCAAATTATTACAGAGGCCATGCCCTCTTTCCCTAAAACCCATTCAAGTGGCAGCTCTGCACTCTGCCACCACAGGGCCTTCTATCATGTGCAAATCCTTCTGCCACTGATGCCTAAAGATTTTTAGCTTTATATATATATTTGCAGCTTTGTAGATTTTTAATATGCAACTGTATAATTTTTCATGCTTTCTCACACTTCAGAGCAGTAGATTACCCTTTCTCACACATTTATACCACCTTCTTGATATTCTGTTTAAATAAATAGTCTTATTTTCAAGGAAAGCATTTCTAACAAGAATACCCTGATTTGCACCAGCACACAGGAGACACAACAAAATATAGAGCTGAGAACCCCTTGGAGAGACACCGAGGGGCAGGCCCATGGGGGGTTACCAGGGCAACTGATCTCCCATAGGATGTACTTGCTAGATATCTTAATTAGTTAAAATTACAAAATTTGTGGAAATCCCATAATGGGCATGCCCAAAGAAAACTTTCATTAAAGAACTGCTCTGTATGTTACCACCTTTAGTATTGTTTGGAAAGTTTTCTTTTGATTGTAGAAAAACCACAACACATGAACAAGCTTCAGCAATTGACTTCTAATAGATAAAGAAATGGCATCACTTGCCTGAGTTATATTGAAGGCAAAGATAAACACCTGTTATACTTAACACTTTTGCAAACCTTGGATCTATCTGTTTATACTTTTACTTCTAATTTCACTCTGGTGAGCTATTTAGGTGGGGGTTTTTGGTCTGTGAATTCCATAAATCGTGTCCTCTAAGAAAGAAACTAAGTAATTGATCCAAAGCATTGGAAAAATCACTCTGGATTCAATAACTTGTATTCTTTCTTAAATTGCTTAACCAACCTACATAACTTAAAGTGTATTTGCTTTGATGCCAAACTAATTTCAGCATAAATAAATTATAGGAAATTTAATTTAGTTGTCATGAAAATTGCCATGGCCAAGGGGTTTAGAAAGCTGGTAGTAGAGAACTATTTCATTTTGCAATGATTCCCATAATTTTGCTGTCCATTTGTTCAAAACCCAAAAAAAGCTTTCACAGCTTCTGTCAAAGATTGCTGTTTAGTCTCAGCTGTTCACCTTAATGAACTATGTCCAGATGTATTTTTCTGTGGATACAGCTGTGTGTGCAATAATTAGCAAATGGAGAGAATTAATATAGAACCCTCTTAAGGGAGTGAGCTACAATGATAAATAAATATTGCTGCAGAGCTTCACAGGGATTAGGATTTTCTTTTGCTCCTTCTTGTTTGATTTCTGTCAATAGAGCCAGACATTCTGTCAATAGGGCCAGAAACATCATATTCAACATGGAAACATTTAGTGACAAAACCCTGAATCATACTCTTATAATTGTCCACATTTATCTTTCCATGTGATAAAGTTATTTTAAAAAATTAACAAGTGTACATGACACTTACAGGAGCCTCTCTCATATTCAGCAAAGAATGAGATGGAGGGAAGGTGCCCAGACGATTTTTGAAACCTTCTTCCACTGTCATTCCCCAGAACTGACTGTAGTTTTCAGCTTTCCATCTTCCTCAGAGATGAAAACCAAAAAGCAAGATCCAGGTTAGAGATAACACTCACATTAACACATTGCTCATTCAAGAGTACAATTACCAAAATAATCCAGAAATAAATTTTTGAAACTGCATTTCAAAAACTTGCATTCAGTATGCATGAAAAAATATTTGCTATGGGCTTTTCCACTGCAGACAAAAGCAGGATGAAGCAACATAGCAATGTATGAATACTGGTGATTTGGGGTCAGCACACATCAGCCTGCAGGACGTGAGTGTGCAATACTTCAGAGCAGTATTGGCAAACGAGACACCCAGCCAAAACATTGCTGTTCTCTTGAAGCTATGCTCAAATCATGGTCCAGCCCAGATTCCCACAGAGAGCCAGCAGCCTCGTGTTGTGAGTTGCAGTGCACCTCCAAGCTCTTGTGCACCAGCACAGAGGTACTGTTGAACGCAGCAAAAAGCCCAGCTGACACCTTCTGCCCAAGTTTTATACCAATAGCCACTGTGGCTCCCTGCGGTTCTCTAAGTATTCCCTTGCTACTCTCAGGTGGACCCGACTCAGATTGCAAAGATGACATGCAAGTTATAAGCACAACACAATAAAAACATCCTTGCAGCCATACACATTAGGAACACACTGAAATTTACTACTGGATAAGGGCTGAGTGACAGGGGAGAGAGCGTTCTCTTTACCCATTCCTTTCTTGCTTTTGTAAGAAGAACAAGGAGAGAGATTCGTGCTGCCCAAAGAAGCCTGACTGCTCTTGCTCTCTCCCTGTGGTCAGTGAAAAGTGCAAGCACAGGGAGAAGTGGAGTCATATCTCACCCATCACCCTGTGGCAGATGTCATTGGTCACCACTGACAAGAGACACGTTCAGGCTCCAGGGGCCCAGCTTGGTTGATTATCCTAATTCAGCTGCTTTAAATGCCCCCCATGAAGTACAAAATATTTCAGCACTCATGACAGCTTGAAATCTAGGCAGGCTTCATTGGCAAATTTGGCACCCCAGATCCTAGGGAGACTGCCCATGTATCTCTGTCTGTAAACAGCCAGAAGGCTCCCACGGCACAGATCTAGTACTGGAGTCCCTAATCTCTGTGCACTAGCCAGGGGAATGAGATTGTTAGTGAGAAAAACACCAAGGCCTCCAAGTTCTGATAACTTGATCCCCATTGCACCCATCTTCTCCACTTCCAGTGCTACATAGAGTCCTGTTACATGGAACAGTGCTCTCAAGGGAGCAGAAAAAAATTACTTTAAATATCTATCCCAAGTAAAAAACACAGTGAAGAATAGGGGAAGATGATGCAAATCTTGTTTTCAGAGAAAAGAAATTTTTCTAAATTTGGAAAATATTTTAGATAGATGTTTACAGCAGATGTTCTCTTACCAGCATGAGATGTTCAGTACCTTTCCATTTAAAGCTTTATAATCTGCCAGTGATTTGGAAAGTTTCACAAATGCATACTTACTGTCAAATTACTGTAATGTATTTGGAGAAATAAGGGATGGAAAAGACTGCATACCTTGTAATTTGCACATACACAGAATGAGCAATACTGTGATGCATAACAAAACTTTAAAATAAAAGAGTTCTCACCCAAAATCTCCAGAATTGATGTGCTGAATTAAGTCTTGGCGAACAAGGCACACGTCTGTTGAACATTTCCAGAGACTGTTGAAACATTTGCTGAAAGGACAAGAATATCATTAAACAAAAAAAACAATTGTCAAAGGAAAAATATGCATTTTAACAGCAGAAGGCAGATGGAGGGGGGAAAAATGTGAACAATATAATTGTCACAAAGACTTTATGAAAATATAGCGTCATTTCTTCCTACTTCACTGTCTAATGAGTTGGAACAAGGTGGGAAGGTTTACAGTTTGTGAGAGAGGTCATCTCTGAAACATTTTGCTTCCATCTTTGTGAGACCAAACCAAGGAATGTAATGTTGATGTTGAATTCCTGAAAAAATGTGATGTTTTGAAGAAGTTTTACTCTGGAAACCCAGAAAGGGTTTTGTGGCCCCAGACATAGTGCTTCAAGGACCCTGGGCTAAAGTCAGCACAGTGGGAGCTCCAGCCCTATTTGGGTGGGGTTGGAGCCCTGGGATTCCTACTCCAGGGTAGGGTTGGTTTTTGGAGAGGCAAAGCCCAGGCAGCCAACAGCCAGGGCTGACAGCAAAGCTCCCCTGTTTGCTGTGTCTGCTCCTGCCCCAAGGCAGAGAAAGGGGTGCTCAAACAATTCACCCCTTTCAATATATATATATATATATATGTATTAAACCCTTTCCTTGCAGGTTAATATAAGTTCTCATAACTCATTAAAAAAAAACCATGGAGGAAGGATTCTATAAAGTTTAATGATATGTGTTATATTTGTTTGATCTGCATTCAGGTCAATGCCCAGGTCTAGACTGAAACAATTTCAATTTAGGTTTGACTGAGCAGGAACAGAATTAGGCCCATGAGGAAGAGATTTGAATAGTCTGATACTCATATCTTGATTAGAAATTCCAGTTTCCCTCTTGCTGTTCTTCTAAATTGACTGTAATCTACCTCCACAAAACCTTAATACTTAGCACTACTTTTGCAGTCATTTTGATTTGATTACATATTTAATATGAATTTAAAGATGCTCTCTACCTTAATTCCTGTTTCATGACATATGCAAGATAAAATTCAATTTGCAGTTCTCTGAAACATTACCAGGAATTGCAGTTGTCTTTAATTATTGTTCCTTCTCCGTAATATCGGCCATCTTTATAACAACCTGCCAACATAACATATAGGTGTGTGAAAATAAAATAATTCTTCAAGTAAATTACTGAAAACTCTTCTACTATTGTATTAATTGGTTTTATGCAGCATGTTTCAATTATTTAGTTGAAAGTCAGCAATATGGTTCCAGTTTTGTCCAAGTAATGAAGGCAGTTCAATGTATTTTATGTTTTTAGAAAATATATCATCATTCATAGTAAATAAATTCAGCATCAGATTCAAAACACCCACTGAAGAATTACTACCTTACAAATAAATAAAAAAATTCTTCAAAGAAAGTTATTTTCCAATATTAAAAAGAAAATATTTCTAATAAAAATTATTTTCTAATTGGCAATTAAAATAGAAATAAGATTTTACAGATATAGAATTTAAAAAAATAGTGAGTACTCCAAAAGTATTGTAATAAATTCTTTTTCCTTGCCAGATTAATTCCTCTTTGAAAAATAGACAGATCAATTGCACTTCAAGGCAAATGTATGCTTCAAAACCCACCATGAAACGCAAATTGAGGGATGAGTTCTCCAGAAAAATCCCTCTCATTTTTTTTAATTTGGCAACACTTCACTGAGAAAAGATTTTTTGTGTGTTTCAGTACCTTCCACATAAATTGTTTCATCAGTGCATTTAATTGTCAAAGCTCAGTGGAAGAATGATCCAGAACGCCTGCATGGTGTCAGGATGGAGTTCCAGCAATCCAGTGCTTGTTCCTTGAGTCAGCAACGAGCACTGGGCATTTATCATACAGGGCTGTGTTTTCCAGCCTCTTCTGACAGGTGAGCCATGCTTCTTCCCCTGCTGAGAGGGCTTGGACTCCCTTCTCCATTTCCAAGCTCTAATATGGTGTTGGCTTGCAAATTTGCACGGTGCCCTGCCTTTCCCCAGCAGGAGTGCGAGGAAGGCCAGGCGCAGGTACACACACCCCACCCTCAGCTGCCTGCGCCTCCCTCCTTGCAGCACAGAAACACGCACTCTGAGCCCTACATGATTACATAACAAAGTGCAGAAGGGAACTAGAGGTGATTATTAGGTGATTATTCAGTGATTATTAACCATAAATACTTTTATTCCCTGTTCTTAATTCATCAGGCTCTGGGAGGTAGCACAGGTAAAACAGATCCCGCCCAGGCAGTCTGAGGCCCAAAGTGCCTGCTCTAATCCAACTTCAGCTAAGAGCTGAGGTATTTTTCACATAATTCTCAAAGCAAATTACCAAAGTGCCATAGTTAGTCACAGTATGTGACTAAGTCAGCATCAGACAGTAGCTGGAAGGAGGATCAAGCAGATTATTTCAAAAGTATCAAGAGAAGGAAGTATTGACGCAGCATTTGAGAGATGGAACAGACCCTCATTGGAGCTCTGCTGGCAGGGCTCACTGCCTGTGCCCAAGATAAAATGCAAACCTGGACTAGTACAGAAGCAGCTTTATAATGATGTATGCTTAGGGAATTGAAAATTAACTCTATGCAGTTTCTTTAGCCTAGCCAAGTTAATATTTTGTGGGCCAGGAGTAGTGCCTGAGACATCAGTGAGACAACAGAGTTTTCTAAGCTAAAGGACACATGAGAATACAGCAAATGTCTGGCTCTGAATCAGGTTGGAATATTAATACATTAAGTGGGAAATTAATTAATTTGAAGATGCAGATTGATGACTTTGTGAATGAGATGTTATGATGTGAAAATCATCAATGGAAAGAAGAAAATTTGAGAAATGGAGACATCCTTCACAGTCCAACATTCATATACCCTTAATGGTTCTTATTTAATTTGTTCCCAGCATTGGTGTCATTGAAATACTCCAGGTTTACTCCTTTGTAGGTCAGATCACATCTGTCATATAAAAGCAATCAGCAAACTCACTGGATGTCACTTTTACACCACCAACAGGGTGAGACCCAGAGTGTGTGTTTTCACTGGGCTTTTTGTATCATCAGAGTAACTGAAACAAAGATATTAAATAAATAATAAATAAAGTCCTGAGATAAAAATTCAAAAAGTTCTTCTAACAACAGAATTTAAAATATGACTATAATAAAAAGACTTTGAACTTCAGTTTGGTATCTAAGGCAGGAATGTGCAGTTTCTTCTGAAACTACACATGAAAACCAAATAAACAAACTGAAGGCTGGGTTTATAAATGCAGAGTCAAAGCAGTTCCATACATTTAAACCAATACTGACCCCCAGCATGGTGCACACACATGGAAGAAGTCACAGTGTAGTTTGTTTCTGCTGTACACGATCAGTGAATACGTGGGGATCCAGAAATAAACCACTGAGCAGTTTTATTGCTATACATTCCAGCCCATGTAAAACACTTCACTTTATTGGTTTATTTAAAGAACTATTACTCAGGAGGCTCTGAGAGCAAAACCTCTGGCAACCAAAAGATCAAGATCTGGCTAAAAAGTACTTTGGCACATGTGGTCTTCAAGTGCTTAAATAATTCCTAGCCTAAGGCAGAAGTGTAGTCTCAGTTGCTAAAAGTCAGCTAACATACTTGTGTCATTTCTAATGATGCTTCCTAATTTGCTTAATCTTCAGGCATTTAGTCCTACTTGTTTCTCCTTTTTTTCATTCCAATTCTTCAGATATTCCAGTTCTACAAGGAATCTTTAGAGACAGTTTTGTTTGTTACCTTTTGTTCCTCCTGCTTTATTTTGGCTTTGTTATTCATCTTTTACCCTCTAAATTACTTATATAATGAATATGAAATAATGAAATTTTTTTTTTAAATTTCAGACTTTCCATCTTTTTAAAGATTACATATTAAAAAATAGTATAAGATCATCTATAGGACAAGCAAAGGTACTGTAAATATAATTGCTACCCCTGGCAGTTATGTTAGGAGTTACAAACAGTGAACACAAATGCAAAAAAATTGGATTCAGAAAGCAGTAAAAAGATTACCCCTCACCTATTCCCTTATCTAAACCTTCTATTACACTTCTACCTTTCAGAGGTAGGCTTGTGACAGTGGCCATGTGGCAAACTGCTGCAGGTTTTGTAACGATTCAATTCCATGAGACAGTTTGCCAAAGTAGACTCACCAGCTCTCAGCTCTGGACAGAAATACAACTACACATTTAAGTAGAGCTTACAACAAAAATCTCATGTCAAAAATAATATACACCACTGCACCGAATAAAAATGAGACAAAATTTTATTTACATAGAGCCTTAGAACATTCTTTTAAATGGTTAGAAACACTGTGGAAAATCAAATTTGTTTTGCAGCATTTCTGTCACTTCCACTTATCAGATTTTGGCTGCATACCTAAGAGCAAGCCTCCTGAAGAGCTTGTGTTCTGAGTGCTGAACTGCAAGCAGCAAGGTTATTGCAAAGAGACAGTTGATTTTTAAATATCACCATAGTATTTTATTGATTTTAGGCTTTTTAAACTTTGGTAGATTCTCTACATCTTTGGCCAGATTTGGTGTACTTACAGTAAGAAGCTACATAGTCTTAAAATCCACAATACCAAATTTTCTCCACCAGCAGAGATTTGGCCTATCCACAAGCCAAGGGAGGACCAGATGTTTGAAATTTTTTTTTTTTTTGCAATCTTTAGTGCTAAAAATAATTAGACTTAGTTTAGAGTAATCCTGAAGGCACTTGCACTGCAAACTAACTAGTAAGAAACTAAAATATGCCACAAATCCTTGTTCTAAACACATCCCTTCACCTACTCCTTGTTCTAAGCATGTCCCTTCATTTAGTCCTGCACCTGAGCTGTTGCCAGAAAAAGAGTGTCCTATAGGAAACCTATGGTGAATCAAAAGCACTGCAGAACACTCAGGGCACTATCAGGATAACCCTCAGTTTTGTTGATGATTTGTTTGCACTAATGGATACAAATATTTAGAGTTTGCTGTTCACCTCACATTAATCTGTGAAACCCTGTTGAAATGTTTCAGTTTACACTAATTTTGACCCAATGAGGTTATTTGAGAAGTTTCAAATAAAACAGAGGTTCTGTCCAAGAGAAATACAATCAAATCAACGTTCATATCCTAGAGACAAAGAAATAACAGCAAGTATAATTCTCACTGCAGTTTCATGCTCAGTGTCTTTGTCCACTATGACTTTAGTCAGTTTTTCAGGAATTTACTTCTATGTATATTTTCACTGTGATGCACTAAAGCCAGCTGAGCATTTTGTCTCTACTTACCCCCTGCTGAAGGCGGCCAAGGCTGCTCTGACCTGCTGGGCTCCGCGGGGTGGTTGCAGACATCCCAGTAGTCAGTACAGCAGTCCACAGGCCCGGGAGAGCCCGAGGTGCAGTACTGGTCACAGTAACATACAGCTCCTCTGGAGACAATGGTAAAGCTGCAGTCATCATCTCTTCCTGGGCAACAGCCGCGTATCCTGCAGGAACTCCCCTGATACAGACTCCTTTTAATCCTGTTCCACTTAGCAGAACCACTGTCATTTACAGAGTAAAGTGCCTGGGAGAAATTTCTTCTAGAATCAAAACGTTTTGTCATTGAAACTTCACTGGCAATCCAGTATAAGAGCAATATCTGAATTTTGTGCCGCATTCTTGTGCCTCTAGAAGCCTTTTTGTCCTTCACTTTCTCAGCAAATATTCATTTACTCTGGAAGTAGTACCTCCAGTTGGCAATCTCAAAGAAATCTGAACTGAAAGCTGCAGACTACAGTTTTCCAGGAAGACTCTGCATGTGTTAATTATTAGTCAGATGTGTTGTAAACTGATTTATTTGTCCAAGAACAGAGGTACTGGAAACAGAGCCACAACTATGTATTCATCATTATGAAACTTTGGTGTAATCTCTTGCAAGAGAGAAAGTTATAGCAAAGCTTCAACATATACAAAATATACACAATCCAGTACTTTAGTTCTACACTTCAGACTTCTAAAATCAAAACAAAGTGAGAATAAGTACATGGTGTCAATGGAAGCTCTCTTTCTTTTTGTGTACCTATAACCAGCATGTTCTTCACATGATTAGAAAACCTTTAACATCTAGATTTTATCTCATCTAAATTTTCCTATCTGATTAGCAGGGTGACATCACTGCAGTAAACTTGTCCTGCATCCCCCATTTCAATTTTGTTTCCAGTGATCTATCTTAGCCTTATATGCTTCACTTTTTTCACTTGTTTTACTATGGGCAAATTCAGAAAAAAAAAAATCAGGTGATATTCAGTATAAACCATTACTCAAAGGTATTCTTTTAAACTTTGCATTTCTGTAGTCAAAATCAGCTTGACAGTCATTCTAATTAACATAATAAGCACCCACTGATAAATGCTCATTCCTATTTAAAAAGTAAATGTCTGTATTTATATATCTACAAAAAAAAAAAATAGAAAAAAAAAGCAGATATCAAGGTTAAGTCTAACAACCTTTGCTACATGATCTGTAATCTCCAGGTTTTTGAACAGAGGGCTTAAAGAAATATACGTGGTACTGTTGCCAAGAAAAGATTCAGAAAAAAGTACCAAAGAACTTTGAAGTTTCTACCAGAGATAGCACATAAGGCTTAACTGAAATAAAAAAACCCACACACAATTTCAGATCTGAACAAGACAGTTTAATTCCCCAAAGCTGAACAAGCAGAGGTAAAAACCAGTCATCCTTCTGTCTCCATTTCTTAGTAAGTGAGAGGAACCTGGAGAAGTTGATGGTGGGTTGTTTTCTAGGGAATTAAGGAGATTTTTCCTGTTATGACTTCAGCTGGGCGCCTTGGGAAGGCACAGCATCAAAGGACAGCTACTTTTGAAAGCATAGTCAGTGTGGATGCATTGCCATAAATGACAGAGACATTAAGAGGCAAGGTGGGTGTATGTTTATATGTTTTGGCTTGTAATCCAAATACTGAAGTCTTCAGTACAATTTCTTGCCAGCAGTGCTTTTATTGGACCTGCCTCCTACATTGTCCTTGTCACAACTAAGGAGCTGCAGATGAGGGAAAAATTACCTCTGACAACACAATTTTATTTTTCTCTCTTGCAGGCAATCTTCTGTGTGAAAGATAGAGAGGCCAAGGTCAGCGATAGGCTATCACTGTCCATCACATTAAAGGTACATAAATCTTAACCTTCAAATATTCTCTGCATTTTTTGTTTGTTTTTGTTTTGTTCATAGTAGAAAAATTTGGAAAACCTTAATTCTGTCACTGACTGCAGTGATGCAAAAAATATAAGGGAGATGAGAAAGGATATATTCATGGAAACTAAGTGCTCTCTGGAAATTATAATTAATTTTTTTTCCTTATGTCTGTGCAGTTCTGTCAGCTCCAAGAAAATGACCTCTGATTTGCACTGACATTAGAAAATTCAAATCTCCTTTGTATTACAAATCTTCAGAAATACTTTTATCTAGTTATCCCCTTGCTCTGGAAGCATAAGAAAGAATGTGTGGTAAATGTCTGTCAGTCAGATCAAATGAACAAGCATATCTCTTTTTGATTTTAAAGACCTGCTGATGATAAACCAGAGGCAAGGAATTTGCTTGGAAATCATTTCAGCTCATTTACTCAGGAGTTAGATTTCTTTTAAAGGAGCACAAAAATCAACCTGTGTTCTAAGCACCTTTGCTTTGCAACAAAGTTGATATAACCCTTTTTCCCACTTGATGGTTTCTGTTCAAACCTTAAAAAACCCACAAAACTATTCCACTGTGCTTCAGGAAATAGATTTTTTTTTTTTTTACATTTTCCTCTGTAAGCCAAGCAGCTCTGTCTTCACTGTGCGAAAGCACGCACTGAATTATCTGTAATAATTTAGAAACAGCTGGATGAGGTCCTTTTTCTCTCTTGAAGATTAGCCTGTTCCAAGCATAACAGCTGTTGTAAGATTTTGAGTTAAGGTCCTAGTACTAGTTCTAGTTGGCACAGTTGAGTGCAAAAATGTTTGTCTAGTTCCTCTTTCAGCAGTTCTTGGTGTTTGCCCCGAGCTTCAGGAAACAGCACACATTTGTCAGAAATTCAAATATTAATAGCACTGAATGATTGATGGAGTAACAAAAAACAATAACAACAAAAAAGATGTTAAACTGTCCAAGAATCTCTTTAAAGCTGCACCAGGGTTATTTCACAGCCTTTCTTTCAAAAGCTGACCTAATTTGTCTGACTAAGCCTAGTCGGCATCATAAAAATCTCATCACCTTCAGAGAAGGGTAGGATAGCAGTGGCTGGCAAGACTCCTGGTGTGAAGGTGACTCCCAGGATGGACAGCTGAGCCCACCCCATCAGATAACCATGACACTTTCCCTTCTGCCACAAGCAGACTGGCTGCCACAAGCAGACTGGAGTCCAGCCTTGTGCAGGGGAATTGCAGTACTGTGACCTTATGCCAGGAAAATGAAGGGACACTCAGCCAGTCAAGGAAGAAATCACAATGCTGACCCCAGGTCAGTCATTTGCCAGGAGGCACAACTCAATGCATCAGAGAATCCATGTAATTGCTTATCTCCAGTTTAAACTCTGCAATGATACTATCCATCCTATTTGTTGAATTCAAATGGAAATTTAGCTGGTGACTCCTGGCACAGAATGCACCACTGATTTCTAATGGCCACAGTACTTTATGCTTACTCCTCTTTTTTATTAATGGTTGCAATGCAGTGAAAGTTTTCTAGGCAAAATTGCTTCAACAAAAGTATTATCCCACAATATATTGTCTCAATCTTGTACTAATGGCAGAATCATCCTCCCAAATTGTGAATGACTAGCTCCTAGATGTGTTTATGCAGAGACAAGCTGTGTGTTAAAGTGATTTTCTCACTGTCAATTCAGTCTTTGTATGTTTGCAGCAGGTGTAGGAATGGGGGTGCATTCACCCTGTTTTGCAAGAGCCTGCAGCTCACTGCTGTGGGTTGTTGGCGTGGTAGCAAGCAGTAGCACTTTTAATTTAAAATTTCAGGGCTGCCTATCTCAAGTCTTATGATGTTAATCCAAGCTACATGTAACTCAGAATAATGATCACTTAAGTGACAAATTTCATTGTCCTGTCACAGTGTGACTTGTTATTCACAGTCTCTGACACCAGTTCTTCCAATTCATCAGATATTTGAATCAACAGATTTAGGGCCAGAGGTAGAGGAAGTGCAACTGACCCAAATTGTGCATGCTAAAGAAAACCCATTCCTCACACAGGGAGATGCACACACATGAATGCCCAAGACTTGAGAGTCAACAACCACAGGTAAAAGGAAATTACTTTATAGGTGTTACAAATATACATTACATAGTTTACTATTATTATTATTATTATTATTATTATTATTATTATTATTATTATTATTATTATTATTATTATGTGGTTGTTATGGCCTCACAGCCTTTTTGCTCTACCCACCACAGCAATTGACCAAGCCTATTTCCTGTGCCAGCTGCATCACTTGGTCAGCCTTGAGGAAGCAGGTGCCATCTCATTCTTCTTGCCAGCCACACTCTTGTGCCATGTCAAGGCCAGCCCACTCTGGGCTCAGCCCTGTGAAGGGTGGGGACCCTGTGCATGAACCACCACAGTGTCCATGTAGTCATACAATTGCAGGGGCTCTCCTAAATGGTGTTTCACTAGGACTTACAGAACAGGTAGCAGCAGTCACTGTGGCTCATACCTGAATAGGAACCTCTCAAGAAACAAAATGAGGCGCAGAAATTTTGGCATCCCAATATAGACTACATGCCACCTTCATTATGCCATCAGTGTGGACTATTGTGAACATATTAATCTGTGCATAGCTACATTTACGTTCAGAGAGGTGATGTTTACTGTGAATTTGCCAATCCCAAACCTCATCAACCAGTCAGAGATGAAGGAGACAAGCATTGTACTGTATTTCATTGACAGTATGAGCTCTCAGAAACTATTGTGCTGGTGTTGCAAGTTATGCACATATTGGTGTTCATCTCCTTTGTCATCCAGATCTTCATTTGATTCCACCAGAGAATCTTAGAGTCATAGATTCATAGAATCATGGAATCATTAATTTTGGAAAAGATATGTAAGATCACCTAGTCTATTACTGTGTTCTCCACTAAACCACGTCCCCAAGTGCTACGTCCACACACCTATTGAACAGTACCTGGCATGGTGAGTCCACCACTAACCTCAGCAGCCAATTTCAATGCTTGGCCACCCTTAGAGTGAAGAAATGTTTTCCTAACACCCAGTCTAAACCTCCTGTGGTACAAACTGAGGCCATTCTTATCCTATCACTTGCTACTTGGAAGAAGAGACTGATAGCCCACTTGGCCACAAACTCCTTTCAGGTATTCAGAGAGTGATAAGGTCTCCCCTGAGCCTCCTTTTCTCCAGACTAAACACCTCCAGCTCCCTCACCTGCTTCTAGTAAGACTGTATCTTAATCCTTTTAACAGGCTGATCCTCAGAGTTGCTTAGCTGCCACTTTCAAGGATTTTTTTATACCTTAAGGTATAGATTTTTTTTCCTTCTCTATCCCTGAGTTGCTACTCTTACCATCCTAACAAACTCCTTCTTCCTGTGTTTTTACCTTTTTTTCATTTTGGATAGCTTTAGCTTGTCAAGTCCCCGAGGTTTAAGCCCT